CAAGAGGATTGCTTGAGCTCAGGAGTTGAAGACCAGCCTGAGACCCCATCCCTACTAAAAACAGAAAAATCAGGTGTGGTAGCATGAACCTATAGTCCCAGCTACTGGGGGGAGGCTGAGGCAGGATGACTGCTTGAGCCCAGGAATTTGAGGTCATAATGAGCTATGATGATGCCACTGCATTCTACTCGGCAACAGAGTGAGACTTTGTCTCAAAAAAAAAGAACACAGAACCTTCCCTACCATTCCATTCTAAGGACAAAAATAGCTACATATATTAAAGAAATTTTTAACATGATACACTATGTTTATGGTTACTACTAACATTGGTATTGTTATTTTGAGACTATTTTCTTTATATTGCAAGATAAAGCAAAGAAAATAAGTACTTATGGTAACTTGTTTCAAAACTTTTACTGTAAAATATAATTAGGAGCTAAGAAATTAGGTAAAAATATCACACCATTTAAACAGAATTACAAATATGAATATGGACTCATGATTTAAAAAAAATAAATATTGTATAGCTGTCATTTTAAACGGCCTTAAAATGAGCACACCCCAGATCTTATGCTCTAATACCATTCTGCAATAAAAGGAACCAGAACTCCTTGGAGAAATGGCCAATTCCAGGTCTGGGACGGAAGGTACAAGGTGAGCCTGGAGTACAAGAAAGCTTTCAAAGACAAATGATGCCAAGTCAAAATGAGATAAGAGATGGCTTGAAAGAATGTCTACTGGCATCAGAAAGTGTAGTTGACTTGAACACACTAAATCTATGACTTTAAAATGATGCTTACAAAAAGAAAAAGCCAGAAAAAAATTTGATACAATTTGATGTTAACAATCAAATAAGTGTAAAAGGAATTAAAAGACTAGAAAATCATCACTTCACAAGCCCTACAGAAATTTACTGATTCAGCCAAGGATTATTTATTGGCATTAAAAACATCCATTAGGCCAGACTCCGTGGCTCATGCCTGTAATCCTAGCACTCTAGGAGGCAGAGGCAGATCGTTTGAGCTCAGGAGTTTGAGACCAGGCGGAGCAAGAGCGAGACCCCATCTCTACTAAAAATAGAAAGAAATTAGCTGGACAACTAAAAAATATATATATAGAAAAAATTAGCCAGGCATGGTGGCATGTACGTATAGTCCCAGCTACTCGGGAGGCTGAGGCAGGAGGATCCCTTGAGCCCAGGAATTTGAGGTTGCTATGAGCTAAGCTGACGCCACAGCACTCTAGCCAGGGCAACAGAGTGAGACTCTGTCTCAAAAAAATCCATTAAATGATTGACAGGGACTGGTCCAAAGTAAAACCACACAGATTACGTTTTAGTCATGAAGAGAAATTAAATAATCGCTAATGGTGGACCAGCCATATGATATGTCTCTCCTGATGTGATGCAATTTCAAATATATAAGATCACTTCTGCTGTATTCTGGCCAAAAATGAGTCACTATTAGAATTTTTTAAAAACATCATCAGAGATTCTGAATTAGAACAATGTGAAAGTAACTATCCTAGAAATTAAAGAACATATCTCATGAAGGAAACAGTGATGTTTCTAAAGATGAATATAATTTGAACACAGAATTTTAACTTCCTCTCTCCAGTTAAGAAAGGAAATGTCCAAGCTGGGCACACTAGTGCATGCCTGTAATCCCAGCTACTAGGAGGCAGAGGTAGGAGGGTCACTTGAGCCCAGGAGTTTGACATCAGCCTGGGAAACATAGTGAGACCTACTCTCATTTTTTAAAAAAAGAAAGGATAGAAAAAGAAATATCTAGAAAGTTTTTTAAAGTGAAGTATTTTAAATATGGAAATAAAAAAAGTACAGCTACACATCCCATTCTTCTAGAAATTTCTAAGAAACACAGTACAAATGGCTGTACTACTTTCTAAGGAAGGATTTTTTTTTCAGATTAGTAATAATAGTACTAGTACTTAACACTTATCAAGTACTTACTACGTAACAGGCACTATTCTTAGAACTTCATATGTATTAACTTCTAGATCTGCACAATCACCCTGTGCATCAGATACTATTATTATCTCTACATTACTAGATGAGAAACTGAGGCACGAGGTTTAAGTACCTGCCTAAGGTCACTGAGGTACAAATTGGCAGAGGAAGTAGTTAACACAGCAAGTCTGGCTCCACAGCATGTCTTTTTTTTTTTTTAATTAACTTTAGCATATACACTACATTCACATAGTTAGAAAACAAAAAGGTCTTTGCCTTTGCTCTATCTATTCCAGTATTCCCCACCCCCCACAGAGATAGCCATTTTTGCTAGTTTCTTGCAAAACTAGTTTCTTTGAGCTTTTTAAAGGAAACATACACACAAATACATTTCTGTTACCCCCTTTCTTACTGCAAATGAAGCATACTCTACATTCTGCACCTTGCTTTTTTTCACTTAACAATACATTTCTGGAGTTGAGTGTCAGTACATTGAAAGCTTCCTCCTCAGTCTTTTGTACAACTGCACATTATTTTGTTGCATGGTTGTACCATAGGTTTATGAAACCAATCTCCTCCGATAGAGATGAATTGTTTCTAATCTTTTTCTATGCCAAACTGCTGCAATGAGCAATCTCAAACCTATATTGTTTCATGCAAATGCAGACACATTTTAGGATTAATTTCCAGATGTGAAATAAATGGGCTAAAAAGAAAATATTATAAACATTGCCAAATTGCCCTTTGTAGGCGTTGTTCATGCCAATACCAATACTACTTAAATTTTTGAGGCTTTAAATTTTGAAAATGTATTACAGTTGGCTCTCCACCTACCCACGCCTCAACTGCTTTTCTTCTTCTGATTTTTACTGGCTCTTGTAGCTTGTCTATTTTTCCATATGGAGTTTAAAATCAGCCTACTGAGTTCCAAAAGAAAAAAATCTGCCCATACTTTTGTTAGGAGCACATTAAATTAATAAATTTACTTAAGTGCACACACCCTTCTTTAAGTCTCATGGTATTATCTATTTGTTCACATCTTATGTTATGACCCGTAGTAGTTTAAGTTTTTATAATAGTTTTGAACATTTCTTAAATTTATTCTTCAATATTTTATCTTTTTATTGCTATTGTAAATATTCGTTTTCTTCAATTATGTATTCTAACTGATATTGTTTGTAAATTTGGAAGCTACTTGTAGGTATCAATATGATACCCAATTACTTTAGCTTTTTATTATTTAAAACTATGAGAAAGACGACTGTGGGTCAGGAGAGGTGGCTCACACCTGTAATCCTAGCACTCTGGGAGGCCAAGGCAGGCGGATTGCTCAAGGTCAGGAGTTCAAAACCAGCTCTGAGCAAGACAGAGATCCTGTCTCTACTAAAAATAGAAAGAAATTAATTGGCTAACTAAAAATATATAGAAAAAATTAGCCGGGCATGGTGGCGCATGCCTGTAGTCCCAGCTACTTGAAAGGCTGAGGCAGAAGGATTGCTTGAGCCCAGGACTTTGAGGTTGCTGTGAGCTACGCTGACGCCAGGGCACTCTAGTCCGGGCAACAAAGTGAGACTCTGTCTCAAAAAAAAAAAAAAATAGACTGTGGGCGATTTCCTTAGAAAAGGCATCTTAGCAGACAGAAGTAGTTTTCTCCACAGTATTTCACAAAATCCATACAACCTGAGAAATTTTGACTCATTAAGGAATTAGGACACCTAGAATCTAGTCCAGACACCTGGATAAACACTGCAACAACTAAGTTTTCTTCAAAAAATGAGGCTAACTGTGCCTAACCTAGAACCCTTGGCTCCCCATTCCTGAGCTTTCTGCATTGTAAGACACTGCTTCTCAAAATGTAACGCTATTTAGTCTAGGGCTTCCTCTAACAGCCCTATAAAAGCACCTCAAAGACCTGGGGATTTGAACACTGTGAAGAAGCAGGCACCTCGTTAAGAAAAAGTTCCTTTGAAATATTCTTGTTTTTTTAAAAAAAGGCCACGGTGATCTACATACTACCCCAATTAAAGAGAAACACTTTTTAATATACAAATCCGTTTTAAAATTATTCACCATTTAGGTAAAACAGATGCTCCAGGAAGATGGCACCGTTATAATCACCAACATTTTCCACAAGGGAAGTGCGGCTCGAACGTTATACCTCAATGCTGTTCTCTCACATCTCCTTCTTAGGCACAACCACGCACAATCCTACACCCACAATTTCACACTCACTCAATCCCAAACACCAGGTCAAACTTTGCGGTCAAACTCAGGGTCACACACGCTCAAACCCGCCTCAGAGGCCCCCACCTCCGCCCCACACGTAGGCCAGAAGCTCTCGGACCCACTCCCCACCCATGCGCCGCGCCCCCGGAGATCGGGAATCCTCCCCTTCAACCTCCCCGGCCCGATCGACCCGAGACGCCCACATCCCACCTCCTACTTTCGCGCCACGTGGACCCAGGGGCCGTACTGACCCGCGGACAAAGACCAAAATGTCCACTCGGTGCGCCGCGCCTGCGCACTCCGAGGACGAGTAAGCACTCCCAGAAGTCTCCGCGCCGTGGCCCGGCTCTGTCATCGTGGCCAGGCCCAGGCTGGTATGTGATTACCTTCTACTACCAGCGACGCCGCTTTTACGGTCTCGGACTACATTTCCCGTAAGGCTTTGCTGGTCTACTCTCCGTGTCGCTATCTCCATCCCTGCCCCTCCCCCTCAAACTTGCCTGCTTCTTCCTGCGATTGTGGAGCTCTTAGGGTACGTAGTGTTTCCTTGGAGTCCGACGAGCTCAAGTCTACTGGGAGCTTTGGAGTGGGAGCTCCCTCTTTGAAGCCTCCCGGGCGCAATGTCAAAACAGGCCAAACCCAGACTCAGCGGTGAGAGGACGCCATCTTGTCCGAAGCTGGTCTAGGTCTGGACTACATTTCCCAGAGTGCACAGCGGCCCGACATTACGCCTCTCTTGACGCCGTGGCTAAATCATTAGCTCTGCTAGGACCCGGACGCGACCAGCGGAGGCAGAAGGTGAGGGGTCTGGGAGTCCGGGGCGGGGACGGGGCGTGTCCGGAGCCTCGGGTCTGTGAGCGCAGGCGGGAGCGGGCTGTGGATGTGCGATTCTGAATGTGCCTTTGATTGTGGCTGTGTGACCCAATGTGGGTGCCCGTGAGTGTGCGGTTGTTCCCGCCTGTCTCTAGGGTGCGTGTCTGGTTGTTTTTGTGTAACCATGTGTGATACTGTGTGTTGGGGTATGGGATCCTTGTGGTGTGGGGGTGATACTGCGTGTGTCTCTGTTGTGTATGTTTGTCTGTACGCCTTGTTCCTTGAGATGTGAGTATAGTTGTAACTGTGTGACCGATGCGGGTGTCTACGCGGTGTGTCTGCAAGGTGGATGTGTAGTCTTGGTTGTGTGACACTGTGGCCGTGTGTGGCACAGTGTGCATTTGCCATTTATGTATGATTGTGTGGTGACTCTGCGTGTGCATTCCTGTTGTGCCCCTTGGCGGGGAGGGGATATGTGGGAAATGGTGCTTGTGTGTGTGATGCTATGAGGGCGTGGGGTTTGTGTGAGTGTGACTGTGTGTGTCTCCATAGTAAATATTCAGGTATGGCTGGGTGACATAAAGTACCAGTGATTGTGTGTGTCCCCCGAGTGGGTGTTTGTGATTATGTAGGGCATTTTGGGGTGTTGGATGGGGAGCCCGTGACCGTATATGGAAGTGGGCTCACAGTGGTATCACAGTGGTAATTTGATTGTGTGACTGAGTGCATCTTCTTAGTGGGATTGTGACTCTGTGTAAGGGTGTGGAGGTGTCTGTGACTATGTGGTTGTGTCTTTGTGGGTCAAGAGTGGATGTGTGGCTATGTTTATGTGACATTGTGACCATCCGTGCAGCACCAAGTGTGCCAGTGACTCTAGTGCTCTGACCCCTGCAGAACCTATGAAGCTGGGACAGATTCTGGCCCTGGGCAGTAGTGACCTCAGCCTTTCCCATGATACTGGGATTGGGCAGGATGACCAGTCTTCTCTGACCTCCCTCCTCTGTGTGGTAGGGTAGGGGGGCGATTACTCAAAAATGTCCTGGTCGTTCATAATGCCTTTCTCATAACCATTCTCCAAGGAAGATGCTATTGAATGTCCAAAAGCTAAGTTCAAGGTGCATCAAGGTTTTTTCTTCTTTCCCTGAAACCCTTCTTTGTTTTTCGATGTGTGCTTTTCTTTGCTTCTTCTGAAATTTCTTACAACAGAACCACCTCCCCCCACTACCCTTCCCTACCACCCTTTCCCCATTACCCGCTAAAGTAACCTGGTCTCCAGTATTTGCCATAGGAGTTATTTACTGGGTGCCTTAAAAATAGACTGAAAGGCCCATATCCTCCCCCTGCACATCTAATGTTCATTTAAAACTTTTTCTTAACTTTTCATTTTGAATTAGTCTTAGACTTTAAAATGTTACAAAAATAGAATTCTCATATACTCTTTATTCAGCTTCTCCATATATCACTATTTTATGTAATCACAGTACAGTGATCAAAATCAGGAGATTAACATTGATACACCTACTATTAACTAATCTACAAACCTTATTCAGATTTCATCAATGTCCCTTAATGTCCTTTTTCTGGAGCAGGATCCAATCCAGGATTATATGTTGCAGTTAGTTGGTAAGTCTCCTTGGTCTTCCTTGATCTGACATAATTCTTCAGTCTTTCTATGTCTTTCATGGCCTTAACACCTTTAAAGAATCCTGAACATTTATTTTGTAGATTCTGCAATGTAGAATGTTCCTGAATTTGAAGGCATCTGACAATTCCTCATTATTAAATTCAGAGTACGCATTTGAGGCAAGAATATTCCAAAAGTGATGTGGCCTTCTCAGTGCATCATGTCAGGGGACTTATGAGGTCAATTTGTCACATTATGAGTGATGTTAATTTTAATCACTTGGTTTAAGTGATGTCTGCCAGATTTTTCTACTGCAAAGTCACTATTTTTTCCATTATAGTTAATAAGTATCTTCTGGAGAAATACTTTAAGCCTAAGTAAATGTCCTTTTTCTAATCCTGCTTTCACCTACTAGTCTTTAGATCCATTGACAATGCTTGCCTGAAAAAGTTATTACCAGCTGTTTGGGAAATGGTGGGGTTTTTTGTTTCTATCATTCCTTCATTTATTAATGAGAATTTTACTGTTAGAGAGTTTTCTTCTTCATGTATTTATTTACTAAATTATTTATATAAGTATGGACTAGAATTTATTTTATTCTATAGGTTATAATCCATGACTGTCATTATTTTGTTGCTTAAATTGTCACACATTTGGCCATCAGGAGCCCCTTGAGTTGACTCATGTGTCCTTTCAATATGGCCCCTTTATTCTTTTTTTCTTTCCTTTTTTTTTAGTACTTCCTTATTTTCTGGCATCACAAGGTATTCTGGATTGATACTGTAGTTCCTTGCCCCAGTCTTGGAATCAACAAATTTCCCAGGGAGCACTGATTTCTTTTATTAGAAGATGATATTTTGAATCCAAGATTAGATATGCTGATTGCTTCTGAGATGTCATTGCTTCCAGGCCCTCTCAGCTATGAAATGTGTGTATCTGCAAACACACGCATCTGTATCTGTATGTATGCATGTACAGGTAACCCATGAGTTCATCTCCAGTTTCAATCCAACACCACAGGGTTCATGCTACCCTTCTCCATTTCTTTTTTTTGTAACTCCTTTCTTTGACAGTAAACAACTTGGCTCTCATTGGCCACAATGTATTTACTTATTTTATTTATTTGCTCAGTCCTATGTAGAAAGTAGTTTAAGAATTGCTGACCCAAACCTCTATACTCCATATAGTTCTTTTTCTCTTTAGTCTTCCATATCAATATATCAGTATCCGTTGATTGTCTCTTCCCATTAGAATTGATCCACTGGGACAGGAACTTGATTTAGTTTTCCTTGTGGCTGGAACAGTGCCAGTTGAGGGAGGAGCCCAGTAAATACAAAAAAATTCCTGACTTCTCTCTCTCTGCCTCCATATCTATCAGATGCTAGAAAATCATATTGATTTCAACTCTTTAATTCATCTCCTTCCTCCTCATTTCCACTGCCACTGTTGTGGGCCAGGCCCTTTTTGTGTGCATGAAAAAGTACAAGCACCTCTCAGTCTTCCTAACTCCAATTTTACTCCTCTTCAAAATAATCTGACCATATTGGTCCTATCACTTCTCTCTTTAAATTCTTCAGTTGCCTTCCATTGTATTAGTGGGTAAAAGCCTAACTTTTAAATATTCAGCCAGTGTTTTTTGGTCACCTTACATCCTCTAGACACTGTGGCAAGTGCTAGTTAGAGTGATGATGAGAACTGTTGGTCCTTGTTCCCACACCTTCACCCCTGCTGTCATCTCCAGCATTATCTGCTTCTAGATTCTAGAGCTAATTAACTTTAAATATAGATTAATTAAAATTAAATAAAATAAAAAATTCAGTTTCTCAGCCATACTAGTCACATTTCAAATGCTCAATAGCCGCATATTGCTATGATATTGATAGCATGGACGTGAAGATTTCTGTCATCACAGAAAGTTCTGTTGGACAGCACTGGTCCCCAGACTACACAAGTCATTCTGAATTATTCTCTGCCCCCAAGACATACAGTATACTTTTGTTTTTCCCATTGTACTTTACTCTGGTCACAATGATCTATGTCACTTTTCTGCCTATTAAACTTCTCTGATTTTTTAGAGCCCAGTTCTCTGTTTTTCCGGAAATTTTTCTTGACACCATCCCCTGTTGATTAAATTAATCTTCCTTCTGCCCGCTCCCCACCATGGGAAGTTTTTTGCACCTCTCATTAGAATTAGCCTTACAACCCTCCTTTAAACCCTAAATTCTTACTACTTGGGGATGCAGGCCATTCACAGAACTCTAGACTCTGCAACTCCCAGCCCTCATAGTTAGTGAGGAAGTGATGTTCTGCAGGAAAGCAATTGGGAGTGCTGAGCCAAGAAACCTCTAGAAATTGAGTTCCCATTGAGGTCAATACTCTGGATGTGCAGGTATGCATATAAGATGCCTGTATGACTAGAATTTTCTTGCCCCTATCCGGTGAGTCCAGCTGGGGATAGAGGCTTTGACAGAGCCTGTCATATGGGCTCCCCATTTTGGACTTGGAAGGAAGAAATAGAGCTAGTGAGATACCCAAGAGGTTTTGTCTGTTGAGCCCAGAGAAGCTAGAAGACTTTGTTTAGGGATGTCTTTTACTCCAGGTTTGGCCTGCACAGATGTTCTTTGCTCCTAGCCTGATGGTGCTGTCCTCATCTTTAGGGGTAAAGTAGGTGAGTCTGAGTTATCTTCCCTTGCTGCAATTTGGGAGCAGATGGGATTAGGGTTTAGATCAGCAAGATGGGAGACTGTCTCAGCTGTAATCCCTACTGCTGAGATGCCTGGGTTCTATGTCAGTGCTGGAGCACATCTACCATGAAACTATCTTATTGCTTTTGAGTTCTTTAGTGTTTAGGAAGGGGCTGGGTTTTGTTAATTCTGTAGTTCTTAATATTAGTGTTTGTGCAGTGGGACAGGGAGAGGGTGGGAGAAGCAGAGCAGGGACAGTGGAAGTACAATTGGTTTAAGGTCATTTATTTGGGAGTGCCAAAACAAGCTCAGTTCATCAGAGATTTACCGCTTCTCCTCCTATTCTGCTCTTTCAGGATTCTGCATTTGTCCAAGAGAAGAATCCAGAGAAATCAGAGCAGGTCAGATAGTTCTAAAAGCCATGGCCCAGGTATGTTGAAATTTTTTCTATCCTTGGAAAAATCTCTCTTCCGCTGAGATTACATGAACATTTGTGGGGTTCTTGTTTTGCTTTGTTTTGTTTTTGAGACAAGAATCTTGCTCTGTTGCCTGGGTTAGAGTGCCACAGCATCAGCCTGGCTCGCAGTAACCTCAAACTCCTGAGCTCAAGCAATCCTCCTGCCTCAACCTCCCAAGTATCTGGGACTACAGCCATGCGCCACCATGCCAAACTAATATTGTCTATTTTTAGTTGTCTGGCTAATTTCTTTCTATTTTTAGTAGAGATGGGGCCTCACTCTTGCTGAGGTTGGTTGGTCTTGAACTCTTGACCTTAAGTGATCCTCCAGCCTTGGCCTCCCAGAGTGCTAGGATTACAGGTGTGAGCCACCATGCCCAGCCCATTTGTTTTCTTTATCCTGAAACTTTTCTGTAACCTGCTTATAGTTCCTCCATTCCAGGGAATAAGTGGTGGTGCCCACTTGCCTTAGTGGCCCTCTCTTCTCCACTGTTATTCACACATGTGTGTAATGTTCTTACCAGAACACCAGTGGAGCAGAAATATATTCTCTTTAGAGAAATATAAGAACCTCTCTCATCACAACCATGGTTGAATAGGGCGAAAGATGAGATAGTTTGATCTTTTCCATTGACCTGGGTGGTTTCCTTTCTTTGTTCCATTTTTAAATATCACTCCCTTCTTTAGAAATGATAAAACATTTCACACTATCAAGAAATATATACAGAAACATTTCTGTAACTTATAGGTGTGGGCATAAAGAATAATAAAATGAGTACTGTTTTAATCCATTTTTGTGTTGCTATAAAGGAATACTTGAGGCTAGGTAATTTATAAAGAAAGTTTTCATAATAAAAAGTAAAAAAAACCCAAAGTCCTTTAATTTACCAGTGATGTATGGGTTTATGGTTTCAGGGATTGGTGACATTCAGGGATGTGGCCGTAGAGTTCTCTCAGGAAGAATGGAAGTGCCTGGAGCCTGCTCAGAGGGACTTGTACAGGGATGTGACTTTGGAGAACTTCAGGAACTTGGTCTACCTAGGTAAGGATATCGTATCACACAGGGCCAGACGGGAAGTAAGACACTCAGGGACTACAACAATGGGAGGCTGTTTCCACCTCTGGCCTTAAGAGGTGAAGATTGAAAACAGTGTCACCAGAGATGCCAAGAACTAGAGCCACAGAGAAGGGACCAGCCAGCAGCAGCCATAGCTACCTCCAGAACTCCTGGGTCAAAGGAGGGAGGGAGAGGGGTAAGAAATGCCCTGCACTCTCTCTCCTGTACACTGACCTCCTGCCAGCGCTTTCCATCTGCCAAACCCAATGGGAAACCACAGGGCAAGGCTAATAAAAGTCCTTACAATAAGGACAGATCCAGGGACATCAAGGAATGGGTTGGAGGGGAAGAAGACAGTTAATGGAGAATAATCACCATAGTTTATCTACTTCAGATAATTCAGCATTAGCCTTCTGGACTTTCTGGTTTCTTCATTGTAAATTTCTAGGGCAACTCACATGTTTCTAACTGAATTTCTGCTGTCTATTCCCAGGAGAACTGTTTTGTGCCTTGTCAGATTGGATATGAGCAGTTCCATTGGGCAAAACCATTTTCCCATCATTTGGGCAACCTTCACACCTTCCCTCTTATAATTGCCTCTCTTCCATGATAACCAAGGGACTGGGTTTGAATGTTGGAAGAGTATGATGACGTCCCATTTCTTTCCCTGTAAACAGGACTTTCCATGTCTAAGCCTGCTGTTGTCTCCTTATTGGAGCAAGGGAAGGAGCCCTGGATGACTGCAAATGATATGACAGAACCATGCTGCCCAGGTGAGCGAGGGCTGATCTGATGGGGGAGGTCACTGGGGGTAATAGCTCAGTGGGGGAGTCAACTGATAGCAGTAACTTCAGTTATTGTCAGGAGGAAAAGAAAAAAAGCCTTTTAACTATGAAACAATGACTCAAAATCAAAAAGTAACAAAAGACTGATAAATTTAACTATGTAAAAATGAAAAAACTTGCACATGAAGAACAAAAACAATGCAAAGTCAAAATACAAATGATGGCCGGGCGTGGTGGCTCACGCCTGTAATCCTAGCACTCTGGGAGGCCGAGGCGGGCGGATTGCTCAAGGTCAGGAGTTCAAAACCAACCTGAGCGAGACCACGTCTCTACCATAAAAATAGAAAGAAATTAATTGGCCAACTATATATATAATAAAAAATCAGCCGGGCATGGTGGCTCGTGCCTGTAGTCCCAGCTATCGGGAGGCTGAGGCAGGAGGATCGCTTGAGCCCAGGAGTCTGAGGTTGCTGTGAGCGAGGCTGACGCCACGGCACTCACTCTAGCCTGGGCAAGAAGCGAGACCCTCTGTTAAAAAAAAAAAAACACAAATGATAAACAGAGAAAATGTTTTTTTTTATTTTTTTATTTTTTTGAGACAGAGTCTCACTGTGTTGCCCAGGCTAGAGTGCCGCGGTGTCAGCCTAGCTCACAGCAACCTCAAACTTCTGGGCTCAAGCGATCCTCCTGCCTCAGTCTCCCAAGTAGCTGGGACTACAGGCATGCGCCACCATGCCCGCCTAATTTTTTCTACGTATTTTTTGTTGGCCAATTAATTTCTTTCTATTTTTAGTAAAGACGGAGTCTTGTTCTTGCTCAGGCTGGTTTCCAGCTCCTGACCTTGAGTGATCCGCCCGCCTTGGCCTCCCAGAATGCTAGGATTACAGGCGTGAGCCACCGCGTCCGGCCAGAGAAAATATTTGAAACTTACTGCTAATGAGATCGGCCAGAGAAAATATTTGAAACTTACAGCTTATGAGATAATCTTCCTGATGTATAAAAAGTTCTTAAAAATTGAGAAATATCTTCCAAAAGTTAAACAATCACCATCTGATCCAGGAATTCCACCCTTAGGTATATACCCAAAAGAATTGAAAGCAGAGACTCAAACAGACACTTGTACACCAATGCTCATGGCAGCATTATTCACAATAGCTCAAAGGAGGAAACAACTCAAATATCTATCAAAAGATGAATGGATGAACATAATGTGGTAGATATATCCAGTGGAATATTATTCAGCCTTAAAAAGAAAAAAATTCTTATACATGCTTCAGTTTGGACACACCTTAAAAACATTATGCAAAGTGAAATAAGCCAGACATAAAAGACCAAATATTGTATGATTCCTCTTATATGAGGTACCTAGAATAGACAAATTCATAGCAACACAAAGTAGACAGAGCTTACTAGGGGCTAGAGGTAGGGACAATGCAGTAATTGTGTAATGGGTACAGAGTTTCTGTTTGGGATAATGAACAAACTGTACAACACTGTGAATGTACTTAATGCCACTGTATTGTACATTAAAAAATGGTTAAAATGGTAAGCTTTATGGTATATATATTTTACCACAATTGAAAAAACATGATAAAATTTAAAGGAAAAAAAAATAACTGTTACCTCCCAATGCCATTCAAATGTCATCCTCCATATGCAAATAAAAATGAAAAATCCTAAAAGAATGAGAAATAAGCTCACCAAAAGTCCAATAGAGGCCGGGGGCAGTGGCTCACGCCTGTAATCCTAGCTCTCTGGGAGGCCGAGGCAGGCGGATTGCTCGAGGTCAGGAGTTCGAAACCAGCCTGAGCAAGAGCAAGACCCCCCTCTCTACTATAAATAGAAAGAAATTAATTGGCCAACTAATATATATATAAAAAATTAGCCGGGCATAGTGGCGCATGCCTGTAGTCCCAGCTCTACTTGGGGAGGATCGCTTGAGCCTAGGAGTTTTAGGTTGCTGTGAGCTAGGCTGACACCACAGCACTCACTCTAGCCTGGGCAACAAAGCGAGACTCTGTCTCAAAAAAAAAAAAAAAAAAACCAAAAACAAAAGTCTAATAGAAAAATGGATAAAAGACATCAACGGACAGTTCATAAAAAGTTATACAGGGCCAGGCATGGTGGCTCACACCTGTAATCCTAGCACTCTGGGAGGCTAGGGCAGGAGGATCACTTGAAGCCAGGAGTTTGAGACCAGCCTCTATAAAAAAAAAATAGAAAAAGTAGCCAGGTGTGGTGGCACATGCCTGTAGTCCCAGCTACTCGGGAGGCTGAGGCAGAAGGATTGCTTGAGCCCAGGAGTTTGAGGTTGCTGTGAGCTAGGCTGATGCCACGGCACTCTAGCTTGAGCAACAAAGTGAGACTCTGTCATTAAAAGGAAAAAAAAAGTTATACAAATAAAAATATCACAATTTGACCCATAACAAAAGGAATGAAAATTAAAATTATACTAAAAGACCAGTTTTCAGCTATCAAAAAGCCTGGCAACAAAATGTATTAGAGAGACCATGCGAAACCATCACACAATGCTGATGCAAAATGATGTGACCATTTTGGAATGAATTTATTACAATGCTCAGTGGATTGCAGAAGTTTTATTTTTCCCTTTAAAGTATATATATGGTTTCACTGGACAGAAGGATGTAGAAGACCTAAAGAAAGAGCATTAAAGAAACAAAACCACTATACATTAGTAGGATGGATGACTAACAATACAAACTCAAGGAAAATAAAACCATCTCAGTACGGTAGTTGAAATGAGACAAAGTAAATACAACCATATATTTAGAAATAAGGAAATGGGTGAGTGGTTTTGGCAGCACTCATTACTATAAATAATTAATTTTCCTGCCCTACTCAGTCATTCCTATCAATATTTAATTTTATTTATAGAATGCTTCATGAATTTGCCTATCATCTTTACACAGGGCCATGCTAATCTTGTCTGTATTGTTCCAGTTTTACTCTATGTGCTGCTAAAGCAAGCACCCTTATCAGCATTTTAAAATGTTTTGTATTTCCCTAGAACACTCCAGTTACCAACTCATTTCTCTGCTTCCTGCAGATAAAACTGTTAAAAAAAAAAAGTTGTCTAAACTCACTGTCACCAATACTTGATCCACTACTTTAAACTCTTTATGCCTGTCTAAAAAGGCTCTTACCAATGAATCACTCCTGCCAAACCCATGAGAATCTTCGCTCTTATGCAATATTATCAGTAAAGTTGAACATCTCTTCACTTACGTAACCACCAGGTCACCAAATCTAGCAGATGATTCTCAGTGCTCATCCATGCAGCTTGTGACTGCTCCTCTTGCTCAGTTTTCAGTGTTCCCCACTCTCCTGTTAACCCTCCCACCTCACTGACCACTTCTTTTTGGTCTCCAGGACTGCACCCTCCTCCGCCTCCCAATGTCTCAATGCAGGTGGGTCCCAAGGCTCAGTCCGTGGTCCCCTTCACTCCTAGGTGATCTCAACTACTTTTGTGGCTTTAAAAATTATCCATATTGTGATGATATTACTGTTTCTATTTGCAGTCTTACTTTCTACCCTGAGGCCCAGACTTACTTATCGCTCGGCCTACTCAACATCCCAACGTAGATGGGCTAACAGGAAGCTCCAAAATAATATGCCAGAATTCTTGTGTTCTTTTTTTCAAACCCACTCCTTTCCTACCTCACCCTATCTCAACATGGCTCCACCTTTTACCAGGCTACTCGGGTCCCCAAAGCCTAGGGGTCATTCTTTATTCCTTTCTTTCCCTTGATAATACATGATAAAAATTTAAGTGTAAACACTAACAGAAGAGAAATATAGAATATAATTTCAAAGCCTTCTGGCACTGTATGAGCTATTATCATATTTATGTTTTCATGTGCTTTTTAGAAATTGTATAATATTTGTGACTTATATAAACCACTTTTTATGGTTATTATATTCATTTTGTCTCCCTATTCACTTGTAGAATTTTCTATTTCTCATCGAAGAGGAGCACAGTTTATATTTACTTTTCTCTTACTTTTCAGACTTGGAGTCCAGGTGTCAGACATTTCCACAAAAACATATTTTTGAAATAGAGTCATTCAATTGGGAGATAATGGAAAGCATTAAATGCTGTGATCTTGAGGGCTCCAGTTTTAGAGAAGACTGGGAATGCAGAGGCCAGTTTGAAAGACAACAAGTGAATCAGGAGTGCTATTTCAAGCAAATGGAAATCACCTACGAAAACAAGCCCACCTTCGAGCATCACACATATCACACTCTGCGGCAGAGCAGTGAGACTGGTGAGAAACTGATTGAATGTAATGAATGTGGGAAAGCCTTTAGCCGTGGCTCACACCTCATTCAGCATCAGAAGACTCACACTGGTGAGAAACCCTTTGAATGTAAGGAATGTGGAAAGGCCTTTAGTCGTGCCTCACACCTTATTCAGCATCAGAGAATTCATACAGGCGAGAAACCCTATGACTGTAAGGAATGTGGGAAGGCCTTTGGTCGTACTTCAGAACTTATTTTACATCAGAGACTTCATACTGGTGTCAAACCCTATGAATGTAACGAATGTGGAAAGACCTTTAGGCAGCATTCACAACTTATTCTGCATCAAAGAACTCATACAGGGGAGAAACCCTACGTATGCAAAGACTGTGGGAAGGCTTTTATTCGTGGCTCACAACTTACTGTTCATCGGAGAATTCATACAGGTGCTAGACCCTATCAGTGTAAAGAATGTGGGAAGGCCTTTAGACAGCATTCCCAGCTCACTGTACATCAGCGAATTCACACTGGGGAGAAACCCTATGAATGTAAGGAGTGTGGAAAGGGCTTTATTCATAGCTCAGAAGTTACCCGACATCAAAGAATTCATTCTGGGGAGAAACCCTATGAATGCAAAGAATGCGGGAAGGCCTTCAGACAGCATGCACAGCTCACTCGACATCAGAGGGTTCACACTGGTGACAGACCCTATGAATGTAAGGACTGCGGGAAGGCATTCAGCCGTAGTTCATACCTTATTCAACATCAAAGAATCCATACAGGAGACAAACCCTATGAATGTAAGGAATGTGGGAAAGCCTTTATTCGTGTTTCACAACTGACTCATCACCAGCGAATTCATACTTGTGAGAAACCCTATGAATGCAGGGAATGTGGAATGGCCTTTATTCGTAGTTCACAACTCACTGAACATCAGAGAATCCATCCTGGCATCAAACCTTATGAATGTAGAGAATGTGGGCAGGCCTTTATTCTTGGCTCACAGCTCATCGAACACTATAGAATTCATACTGGTTAGAAAACCTTGAACGTTAGGAATGTATTAATAGAAAAGCCTTTATGTGGAATTCACACCTGGCTCGAATACTGGAAAATTTGTATGTAATTAATGTCAGAAAACTTTCACTTATCACTTCAATTATGGAACAGCAGAGAACTCATACCAAAAGAAAATTCAATACATGTGGGAATTTCTTTTTGCCTAAGTCACTGTTTACTAAACATCAGAGAACTATGCTAAAAAAAAAAATTAATATGAATGTAGAAAAGCCTCCTATTGCCACTCAAAATGTGTTAAGTTTTGGTGAATCCTAATAGAAAATGACCCTATTAAAAGATTTTGTGGGCCAGGCATGGTGACTCACACCTGTAATCCTAGCACTTTGGGAGGCTAGGGCAGGAGGATCACTTGAAGCCAGGAGTTTGAGACCAGCCTCTATAAAAAAAAAATAGAAAAAGTAGCCAGGTGTGGTGGCACATGCCTGTAGTCCCAGCTACTTGGGGAGGATCGCTTGAGCCTAGGAGTTTGAGGTTGCTGTGAGCTAAGCTGACACCACTGCACTCTAGCCAGGGTGACAGAGCAAGACTCTGTCTCCAAAAGAAAAAAATTGTTGAATGAATTTGCTAATTTCAGGAACAAATTATATTTTTATTACTTGGAAAGGCTGAGTACATTTTGGGGGAGCATTTTTGGTGGTGGTGGAGGTGGAGGAGGCGGTGGTGATGGAGGGCTTCCTGCATGTATGTTTTGTTTATTTTTGTATGTACATAAAATTTTTCTGGGAGGATACACAAGAAACAAATAACATAGAATGGTTTCCCTGCAGAAGAACTCGGACAGTCCCCAGGGAGAGGAAAATCCTGTTCACCCTTATGAATTTTAAACCGTGTGAATTTATGATCTTTTCAGCAACTGGCAGAATAAAGGTCCGGGAGGGAGGTGCAGTGGTTTTGTGCTTGCCACAAGATGGCAGCAGAGTGACACCAAAGCTAGAGTTTGGCCACTGGGAGCAGTTACTCCTCCCCATCCACAACAGGCAACTTCCTGCTGGCTTCCTGCCGAGCTCTTTTCTGAGCAGTGAGCTCTTGGCACAGCGGTGTACTTATTCCCAGAGGCGGGGCGCTGTGGCTCACGTCTGTAATCCTAGCACTCTGGAAGGAAGAGGTGGGGGAGGAACTCTTGAGGTTCGAGACCAGCCTGAGCAAGAGTCACAAACACACATGCGCCTCTACTAAAAATAGAACGACTTACTGAGCGCACCTGTAGTCAGTCCCACACCCCTTCGCTGTAGTCCCACACCCCTTCCCACCGTTCCTGCTGCCTAGTAGTTTTGTCTGATCCTCAGTGCTGAGTGGACTGCCAGAGACCAGTGACATGGCCTAGCACAGAAAGATGATCTGAACCAATCAGGTTCTCTCAGCATTCTGAATTGCCCCGCAAGACCTACATGCCGTGACCTGTGTGGGCCACGCAAGACCTACATGCAGTGACCTGTGGCCCAGAGGGTCATACACCAAGTAGTCATTTCTTCTGCAAACACCCTACCCATCCCACAGGACTCGCCTCCTGTGCCTGCACTCTGGAGGGTTGCCAGTTGCCTGTTATTTGCTCACAACTCCAGACCAGCTCCAGCCTAGCAAACATCTCTGCTGTCTAGTGACCAAACCACACCTTCTCCAACGGGGTCTAAATCCCTTCCAAGCTTCTCCTAACTTGGGTACCCTCCCTCAACTCTAGGATATTATATAGAATTTCCTTATGTCTCATAGTTACACTTTTATCTTAGTTAATAATTCTTTATATTAAACTTCCTTGTTTAACCTTTTGGGTGGTTTCTATCTCTCGATTGGACCTACCATTTTGCATTCTCACCAGCAATATATGAGCGTTACAGTTGTTGCATGTCCTTATCAGCATTTGATCAGTCTTTTTAATTTTTGCCATCTAATAGGCATATGCTGGTATTTTATTGTGGTTTTAACTGGCACTTTTCTGATGACAATTGATATTATGATGTTGGGCATCTTACAATGTGAGTAACAACAGGTTGCCCCAGGAAATTTGTGAATGGATTAATAAAAATTAAGTATAGAAATATTAATTGAAGAATTTAAGCAAAGAACTATTAAGACAGTCTAAACCATGATATTAATTTTGCGTTAGGGAATTTGTGACTATTTAGAATTTTAAGAATTTAGAATATTTAAGGTAAATTGACCTATTCAAATGGAAGGTCGATCTTATAATTCTAATTTAAAATGTGGAATTCAGTTGGTGACTAAGACTTAGTTGAAATCTTACTGTTTATTCAGAGGACTAAGAAGGGAAAAAAAATCTTATTGTTTATGTATACTATGGGAACAATTAATGGAATATGAGATTCACAACATTTACAAGTTTATAATTTTAGATTCATAAAACTTGCGTAAGTATTGAGGAAAGAGTCATCTAGTAAATCAGCCTACTGTGGTTCTTAAATGGAAAATCCTAACATATTAAATTTATAAGCATAGTTTGAAAGTGTTAAGGGAATTTAATTAAGTTATAAAAGCCCTCTTTAAAAGAGATTGTTAAAACATTTTAGGCCAGTCACGGTGGCTCATGCCTATAATCCTAGCACCCTGGGAGGCTGAGGTGAGAGGATTGTGTGAGCTCAGGAGACCAACCTGAGCAACAGTGAGACCCTGTCTCTACCAAAAGGAAAGAAAGAAAGAGAAAACAAAACAAAACAAAACAAAAAACCCAGCTGGGCCTTGGGGCATGGGCCTGTAGTCCCAGCTACCAGGGAGGCTGAGGCAGAAGGATCGCTTAGAGCCCAGGAGTTGGAGGTCCAGTGAGTTGCGATGACGCCACTGCACTCTACCCAGGGCGACAGAGTGAGACTCTCTCTCAGCAAAAACAAACAAGGCAACTTAACACCTTTAAAATTAAAAATAAATAAATAAACAAACAAACAAATAAATAAAATACACCAATTTAAAAAAAAGGAGTGGAGGAGATAAATGAAAAACCCTATCATGGTGATAATCGCTGAAGCGTGTGATGGGTCCTTTTTATGGGGAGTCATTATATCTTTCCCTTGGCTTTTGGCCATGTTGAAGTTTTCTGCCATAAAACGGAAATAAACTAAATATAAAAATATTTGATATATGAACCTCACCTCTAGAAAACATTGGCTCTTGTTTTCCCTGTGTTAGCTTAGTTACGTTCTCAGAAGCGCTCACTTAAAGCTCTCAGCAAACCTCTAAGGAAGATTCTGACTTAGCCCCTCACGGTTCATCTTTTTCTTTTTTGGTACAGACCGGGCCTCACCCTTGCTCAGGCTGGTCTCGAACTCCTGACCTCAAGCAATCTCCCGCCTCGGCCTCCCAGAGTGCCAGGGTCGCGGGCTGCGCCACCGCGTCCGGCCGCCCCCTCGCGTGCCAGGGCTCAGAGCGTGCTCACTCGCCGTGTAGACGGATCGAGCAGTTGGGCCCCCTGTGTAGCTGCGGCCTCGCCCGCTGTCCCGCAGCGACCCGCGGGGACAGAGCAGGTAAGGAGATCTCCGCAGAGACAACGCGCCGAGGTCGTCCCCGCGCGCACCGACAGGCGTTCCGCGAAGATGAGCGCGTGGGCGCCGCCCGCGCGGGCCGGGTTGGGACGTGGTCTGCGCGAGCCCAGGGACAAATCCCCTTCGCGGAGCGCCCGGCCCGGCCCGGCCCGCCAAGGCCGCGTCCCGCAGCTGTCGCAGCTGTCGTGCTGCGCACTGCGACGGGCGTGGCCTGGGCTCCCGGGAGGGAGGGCACTGCATGTCCTTGGGCGGAGAGGGGAGGTGACTCGGCGACGAGGAGGACGCAGAATGAGGGCCCTGAGGGTGAGGCCCCTGCGGACTGGGCCGGGCCGGGCCCTAACACGGAAGCCCTGGCCCCAACACGAGGCTCCCTAAACGTCCCCGCATCTGGGGACCTGGGACCTGGACCCTGAGCCCCTTCAGGGTTGGGGACCCCTGCCCAGCAATCCAAGCTTCTGAGACCGCCGGGGACCCCTTACGGGGCCCAGAGCCCCAGGTTTAACCCTCTTCCCTTCATCCGGACCTCCCTCAACGTCTGGGGCCTGGACACTGGGACCCTAACACCCCTGCCCTCCCGGGACTTCGTTCGCAGCCTGGACACTCCCGAGGGTCCTGCGGTTCAGCCCAGTTCAGTCCAATTCATCCCCGGGACCTGGTGTCCTCCTGTTAATCCCGGAAACCCTCCTTCTCGTCCCCGGCCCCCAAATCTCAGGACTGGGACCTTTCCAGAACCTTCTAGATAACCTCCAGGCCAGACCCTCTAGGGGAGCTGCTTTCTTTTGGCCATTTCGTGACCGGAGCGTCCTTCCCACTCACGCTGGCAGTTAGAGTCTTGTCTTTGAGACGCTTGCCAGGGATAGGACGGTCCCCACGTCGAGGCCTCAGACCGGCGGGGTCCCCCAGCAGGACCCACCTGGAGAAACCCGTGCAGGTGCCTCCAATACCCACGCACCTCCCACCCCCGCAGGTCTCCCAGGCGCTGGTCCGCTCCTTCAGCTCCACCGCCCGGAACCGCTTTGAGAACCGAGTGCGGGAGAAACAGAAACTCTTCCAGGTAGGCAGAGCAGGGGCGCGGCGCGGGGAGGACGGGGCAGGCGGAGGATGCGCTCAAAGGAGCAGCCAGCGCCCCTTTCTCACCCGACACCCCCACACCCAGGCGGACAACGACCTCCCGGTGCACTTGAAGGGCGGGGCGACAGACAACCTCCTGTACCGGCTCACCATGGGGCTGTGTCTCGGTGGTGAGTGCCCGCCGGCCGGCTGGCGTCAGGGCTGGGGCTTGGGGGAGGAGTGACTAGCGTCGGGTTGGGGGGTGGCACTTAGGGAGGGGGTTGCCCGCCAGGCACCCACACCCCAGGGTGGGGTGTCTTACCTCTCGGATGTTCACCTGGATTTGTCCGGCGCCATTTTTGCAAGAGATTTGAAAGTACCTGGAGCACCTGAGCTGGCCAGGTTTGGGGACCAGACTGGAGTCGGAGCTGGCGTCCCAGGAGGGGAGCTGGGCTAGTAAGGGGTCTGGGGCCCACCCAGGCAGGACTTGGGGAGAAAGCTCCCAGCCTGGTCTAGGTCAACACCAGCGGGTTCCCCACCTGGAGTCCCGTTTGGGAAGGGAGCTGGAGCCGGAGCTAGGATCTAGGCTGGGGGCTGGGGAGCTTGCAGAGGAGCTTCAAAGCCCGGGATGAGATTGAGGAAGGGGATTAGGGTCTCATTCTGTATCCTCCACCTCCCCTGCCTAGGAACTGCCTACAGCTTGTACTTCCTTGGCTGGGCCTCCTTCCCTCACAATAAGTGAGACCAAGAAGCCTGAAGGACCTCAGGGACTTGGACGAGCATCAATAAACACTGACCTCTGTACATGTGTGCGCGTGTGCCCAGTCAAGCCCATCCTCCCACCAGCCTGTCGGGACCTCCACCCTGTGGACAGCCCACGGCCCCAGCCCTTGGTCCCTCATGCAGGACCAGAGATAAACTCCTAGGGTGTTGCTGCCTCTCAGCCCTCTGCTGGGGACCCCAGCCAGCACCCCTGGGCTGCCCCCCAGGGCCTGGGGACATGGCATGGTGCCCTGGTGACACAGAGGCTCTGTAACTAGGCGTGGCGGCCCTCCCCCTGCAGAGGCTCCAGGGTGGGACGGAGGACTCTACACATGGTCCACAGAGGCAGAGGCAAGTGAGAGACTGACTCAAGGACTAGAGCTGCAAGGGAAGCAAACGGCCTGGGGGACAGGGTGGCACTGAGACCTCCTGCCAACCTGAGCTCTGGGAGCAGAAGCCGAGATCACCTGGGCTCCTGGGTCTCAGCCCTACGGGATCTCAGCAAGAACGAGGCTATGGCTCAGCTAAAATCCAGTTCCAGAAAAAACTGCAGTAAAGGACAAAGAGATACGCAGATCCAGCTCTGGGGTTAAACCGGCCACCCCACCTCGAACCCCTCCCTGGGACCCAGAGTACCTCTTCCCCAGAGCCCGAGCCACCCCTCAAGTCTCAGGACAGGAGGCAGATCCCATAGACAGCAGCAACCAGGGTGCATTTATTTCTCCTGGGCCTGGCGGCTGGGAGCAGAACACAAAGGCACTGGGCGTGTGGGCCAGGAACCGCCTGGAGCTGGGTTACCTGGGTGGCAACTGTGACGGTGTGCCAGGGTGTGTAGGGACGGGGGTGATGCTGCGGACGCAACACGTGTGGGGCTTGGCACAGGACGGGAGAGGTCGTGGAGCGGGTGTGAGATGGGTGTGGTGGGGTGGGGTGACTTTAGGCAGGGCATGTTCGAGTGTCTTAGAGCCAGGAGTAGCTCAGGGCGTGGCATGTCGGGGCACGCCGGGCCCTGGCTGTTGCCTGAGAAGCGGGGTGCCAAGGGCTCCCAGAACGAAAGGCCTGTGGGTCGGCAGGACCACGAAGATGTGACTGCAGGTAGGATCAGCTATGGGGGAAACTGAGGCTCCAAGGTAACTTATACAGCAAGGCGGTATGGGGGCAGGTCTGGGGCTCCCGTTCAGGAATACATAGTCAGCTGCAGCCACTGGGGAGAGGAAGGCAGAGAGAGTGAGGAGCAGGGGACCCCGGAATACCAGACCCCCTCCCTGCCCTCACCAGGGGTCGTCGGGAAAACAGGAGGGAGGTGGCTGAAGCTCAGAGCTGGGAAAGAGCGCTGCGGGGTGGGGTCGCCACCCCCTCCCCCCGCACCCACACCCCAGGGTGGGGTTTCTTACCTCTTGGATGTTCACCTGGATTTGTCCAGTGCCATCTTTGTCGAGAGATTTGAAGGCACCTGGGGGAGAAGGGGAGGTTTGGGGGAAGGAGGAGAGAGACTGGCTTTCAGGACAGTGTTATACTAGCACATGACAAGCATAACAGCTAGCACTTCACTGACCATTTACTCTGTGCCGAGCACTGTGTAAAGTGTTTTCCCGTATTAACTCATGTTATCCAATTCTGTGAGATAAGTGTCATCTTAAAACAAGGCACAGAGAAGTAAAGCGATGTGCCCCAGGCCACATAGCAAGAAAGTGAGGAAATGGGGTCTGGAACCTAGGCTGGCACCCATGTAAGCGTGCTCCATTCTCCCCAGTTCCAACCCAAACAGGCTGCTGGAGGGACGCTCCGCAAACGCCACTTCCTGCCCCTGGAGTCTGGTCCCCACTCCTGCCCTGAAACTCAGATCCATGGTCCCCACCCGCAGCCAAGCCCAGGCAAAGAAGGGCCCCCACTGTCTCGCCGCCTCCTTCCCACTCACTGCTGCGCTGCCGCCCTCGGGCATGCGCACACTCACGTCCCGCTCGCCACATTCACTGCGGTTACTATCGGCCTTCTTGCTGGTGGATCCAGCGGCCGTTTCTTGGTCCTTCTCACTTATGACTTCCGGCATCACCTGCCCTATTGTCCCCTCCCACCTTGCCTTCACCTCCCTGACATCTCACACATCTGCCTCTCTTCCTCTAGTACGCTCTTAGTGCAATGTCCTCCCTGGGCTCTTGGAATCTTCCAAACCTGCCCCCGTCCCTCCCCTGCCTAGAATCCGCCATGGCTCTTCAATGCCCCTGGTAGAGTCTGGGCACCCCTGAACTTGGCATTCACAGCCCTGCATGGCCTGACCATGCCCCCTGATCCCGCCTCCTCTCAATTCAGCGCAGACCTCAAGACACACCCAAGTTCAAATTCTAGCTTTGCAACCTCCTAGCGGAATGGCTGTGAGCAAGCAATTTTGCCTGAACCCTAGGTTCCTCCTCCACCAAATGGAGGCGGTAATTCCTACTGCTCAGGGTTGACTTCAGGACTCAGTTACATTAATGCTCCTAAAAGCCCCCGGGATCTAGTCTCTGCTGGCCACTCCCAGCCTTCCACTCCCCATCCCACTCGAGTTCAGCACTCTTTGAACTAAGAGTCCAGCCAAAAGCACCATCTTCTCATTCCCTTCTAGGCCTCTGCCCAGGCTGTTCGCTTGGCCTGTAGCAGTGCCCCCTGCTCTCTCACTAGGTTCTCACCTTGTCATTCTTCAGGTCTCAACACACATGTGCGTCTCCAGGGAGCGCTCCCTGACCCCTTAGGCTGCACCAGAGCCTCCTAGGGTCAAAGTAGCCCTCTGTGCTCCCCCAGGTACTCCCCCTGAGCACTCTCTGGGCTGCCCCATCAGAGCCCTGGCCCCGGCCGAGCCTCGCCCTCACAGCCCCAGTCCCTCTGCCTAGGCTTCCCCTGTCCCAGCTGTAACCAGTCTGAGCTGCCACCATCCGGTGACCTGTCTCCTCCACTGGACTGTGAGCTCTCAGGGCAGGAACTGGGACTGCTTTGGTCACTGCTGTGCCTCTAGCATTGCCCCACTCAAGCTCAGGCTTAGAGAAGACCTTGGCCAACGGGAGATTGGTTCAACAAATCCCCACCCGGAAAGTCAGCTGGGGTGTCACTCACGGAACATGGCGTCCAGCCTGACCAAGCAGCTGATGAAGTTGTCGAAATCCATGTTGCCTCCCTCATCCGAGTAGCGCCGGATGATCATGTTGTAGAGGTGCTCGTTCAGGTGGAACCCTGAGAACGGGTCAGTCCTTAGGTAGGGAGGCCACGGCAGCCCAAGCCACGCCCTCAGGATTCAGGCTCCAACTAGCTCAGTGGGGACTGCCTCATCTGTCCCCCCACTCCCAGCCCCACCATGTCCCTGCCAGCCGTACCTGCTGCCTCAAAGGCCCCTGGGAGTTCACTGCTGCCAATGGTCCCCGACTGGTCGACGTCAAACCGTTTGTATATGGCCTGTGGGGACAGAGAGGACAGGGTCCAGCTGAGCATAATGAGGCATGGTATCTCCATGGCTAGGTGCTAGGGATTTCAGCGGTTGCTACACACCTGCCACCTTTTGATGTTGTTCCACAGGTACTTGAATTCCTCAAAGCCCAGCTTGCCGGTGGTGTCACTCTGGTGGGAGGGTGTTAAGAATAGTGACAGCCGTATCCGGATGTGGGCACCGTTCAAACTGTGAGTTGAATCCAAGCTAAAACTCAGCTCCCATCCAACCTTGTCATGGCACCAGGCAAGTAGTCTTATTTTTCATTTTATCCATATGTTTTAGTTTATATTTCTATATAAGGACTCTCTTTAAACATAACCATGGGGGCCGGGCAGGGCGGCTCACGCCTGTAATCCTAGCATTTTGGGAGACAGAGGCTGGAGGATCGCTCAAGGTCAGGAGTTCGAAACCAGCCTGAGCAAGAGCGAGAACCCATCTCTACTAAAAATAGAAATTAATTGGCCAACTAAAAATATAGAGAAAAAATTAGCCGGGCATGGTGGTGCATGCTTGTAGTCCCAGCTACTTGGGAGGCTGAGAAAGATCGCTTAAGCCAGGGAATTTGAGGTTGCTGTGAGTTAGGCTGATGCCACGGCACTCACTCTAGCCTAGGCAACAGAGTGAGACTCTATCTCAAAAAAAAAAAAAAACCCAAACATAACCATGAGGTATTACATTGCACTTCTCCAAACTATAAATTTCTCACCTGAAAAGAGTTAATTCCTCATTTATAAAATTCTTAATACGAATTCACTTTCTTAAATGTTAGGATATGTAAAAAAACAAGCTATGTCTTAAAATTCTATGAAGTAAGGTGATGCCAAGTCCCTACTGTATTTGTGATAAAAACTGAATGAGATATTGGTATGAAGCACTTAGCTCAGGGATTGGCATATAATAAATTCTCAATAACAACGATGGCCAAGACTTGTCAAGTTGCCAGATTCTGTGCTAAGCTCAGGAATATCACTTTTCTTACTAAATCCTCAGGACACCAACCCTACCAGGATTATTCCCAGAGAAGGAAACAAATTCCAAGCTGGAAATATCTACGTAAGAACATAGTACCCACTAATGTGTACAGGCCACTTCCTGTGTGGCACACACTGTACTAAACCTTTTGTGTGTAGCTCCAACTTGGTATCACCATCATCATTCACCTTATTTTACAGACAGGGAAACTGAGGCACAGAGAGGTTCTCAGCAACCTAAGGGCCAGAGTTGGGATTGTTTCATTCTATGCAATGCACGTGTGATCACATGACATGTATATATGCGTGTGTCTCTATTGTTTTATGTACTGAGTGTGCCTATATCCAAGATCAGCTAGTGGCTGGCCCACGCGCAAATATACTTGTGCATTCCCGTGCACATTCCATCACATACCTGCATGTATGTGGGTATGCTCTTGAGTCTATGTGTATGTAAATGTGTGTATGGTGTTCTAAGCTTGGATTCTCGAGCCCAAAAGACCTGAGTCCAAATTCTTAGCCTGCCACTTACTTACTTATTGATAACTTCAGACAAACGACTGCTTCTCTGTGAGCCTCAGTTTCCTCACCTGTAACGTGGAGTATGAGCATAATGCCTGTCTGAAGGGGTGGCTGTGAAAATTCAGTCAGTTAATGTAAGTAAAGTGCCAGCTGTGACAGCTGGTGGTGGTATTTACTGCCACACGTCTACAGGTCTGAGTGTGTTCCGCTGTATGCATATCCATGTTTGGGGTTTGAAGGCTAATCCCGGTTAGCCCAAACATACTCTCAGAAAACTCCCTCTTCACCCAGGGCCTCCTCCAGACTGCCCCCAAGGATACATCCATCACGGCCACCATGCTGCGACATGTGTCAATGCCAAAACCATCAGTCTTCAGATCAGGGTCTGTGGGGAACAGGTTGCAAGTCAGGCCAGAGGTGACAGCCACCCCCACCCCTATGCCTCTAACCCTGCCCTATGCCTTGACCCTGGTCACTCACGTCGAGTCACAACCTTGTTGAGAATGTTCATAAGTTCCGTGGCACTGACCTCCATGTCCTGTGGGCAGAAGTTAGGGGTAGGTCAGGGGCGACTGAAGGGGGTCTGGCGCGTCATGAAGGAGAACGGGAACTTCGGGATGGTCGTGGTCAAGTGTGTTTGTACGAGGGCAGCCCAAGGGAAGGGACCGAGCCAGGGCCCAGGTTACTTACATCTCCAGCCAGCTGGGCAAAGAGCCTCCGGAACTGCCGGACCTCCTCACTCTCGTTGGCCTCAATGTTGGAGTAATGTGTGCGTGGGGGCTGCAGAGGGAGGAGATCTCAGAGCAGGTAGGAAGAGGGGTGCGGACCAGATAGCCCCCCATACCCAAGCACCCTAGATGGGAGGGTCAGAGAGGGCTGGGTGGCCCGATGATCAGAGGAATGAGGGTGGTTAGTGAATGGGGAGTGTTTGCGTGCAGCATGGCTAAGGCCCATGGCTAAGTTCGGGGACAGTTAATGACAGAGGAATTTCATAAGAGGAGGAGGAAGGTGGGGCTTCTCTAAAGAAACAGGGATGGGGCCTGAAAAAGGCCTTGCAGGGAGGAGGGGGGCTGTCCCCGGCTGTGGAAGGCCGCTTACCGGGGGTTCTGGGTTGTACTGCGCAGCCGCCTCGCTGAGGAGAGGAGGAGGAGTTAGCACCAGGGGGCGGGGCCTCCAACGGGCAGCGCCCCCAGAACCGCCAGCTCCAACCTCCCAATCCCCCTCCCCCACCTGCCACCTTCTTTACCTGGTCGCTGCGCCCTTGGACTGCCCTTGTCCTCACCTGTCCCAATCCACACTGCCCTGCTCCTGCCCCTGCCCCTCCTCTCACTGTATCACGCCAACCCACGGACTGACCCCCACAGTAGGCCCAACTACTGCCAGGGCACACCTACCCAATGGCAGACTCCAGAATGATCTTGGCCCCACTCAATTAACCCAAACTCCCACCCACACTCAACTGACCCCGCCCCTTCAGGGGCTCACTTCTTAGAGGCTCTGCCCCGGCTTCCTGGAGCCTCATTCTCCTTAGGTCCCATCTGCCCGGGACCCTAATCCATCGCCCGCCTTCCTGAATTCCTGTCTTCCCAACATCCTGCCCCAGCTACGTTAGTCTCCGCCCCTTCGAGGGATCCCTGCTAAGTGGCCGTGGCTGATCAAGTCCAACAGACAACTTGCCCTACCCCACCAGGGCATTTTTGTCCATTAACCCAGCCAATTCCAGGCCAGGCCCAGTTCCTTCTGGGCCATTTCCCCTATCATATTCAACCTGGGCCACTCCTGGGCTCACCGTCTCATTGACTCACGTAAGGCAGCAGGCCACTCGCCTATGTCAAGCCCCGCCCCTATGAAGTGTCACTCAGACTCACTGGCTCCGCCCTTTCAACGTTCGTCTCCAGGATAGCCAATGCGGGCCGCGCCCAGCCCCAGCTAGCCCCACCTCCCAAAACCCCGGATCCCTCCCCTCAGGGCCAATACTCTTAGTGACCAGCACAACCGACCACGCCCACGTCAAGCCCCGCCCCCACTATTGGGGTCCTCCCCCTTAAGGCCGGCCCAGCCTAATTAAGGTTCCCAGGTCTAGCTCGAGGTTAACCGCATCTGTTCTTGCAGGCCCCGCCCCTCGTGCAGGCCCCGCCCCATCGCCCAGGCCCCGCCCCTCCAGGCCCCGCCTTACCTAATGGCGCTAATGACTCCGCCTAGGATGCGCATGGCCGTCCCGCCGCCACCGCCTCCGCCGCCTCCGCCGCCTCCGCCTCCGCCGCCCCCGGCCCCGCTGATCAGGCCTCCGAGCACATTCCCCAGGCCCCCGCCCAGGCCCCCGCCGCCCCCGCCGCCGCCGCCGCCGCCCTTCAGGAACGAGTTAACCAGGAACATGGCTGCCGCTCACTCCTGAGGGGAAACAGAGGGTCGGGCGGCCGCCGCGCCCGAGCCCGTCCCTCCCCCCAAACGCGCATTTCCGGCAGCTGGACTTGGAGGAGGAATCTGAGGGCTCTGGGCTTGGGGAGAGAAGGTAGTCCTCGGACGGGAGGGATAGGAACGCAGGGTCAGGTCTGAAGCCCCGCGGGCTTGGGGGAGCCGGCACTGAGTGCACGCTTGGCAGCATTAAGGGGAGGGCACAGCCCTGCTGGGGGGCTCCCGATGGGGACCCCAAATCTGTGTAAGGCATGCCGGCTTGTCCGAGCGCCCGAACCTGAGATCCGGAGCCCCAACATTAAATTTAGGGACCCTCGGCGGGTCGGGGACGCGGGTCGGATATCCTTGGCCTGAGGCCCCTGGGCGGATATAGGAGCTCCAGAATGTGGATTTGAATATTCAGGTACCCCCAGCGGCGGGCTTACAGGGTCACTTCTGGTCTGTGGGCTCGGGTCTAAGATCGTGGCTGTGAGCCCCAGGGCCCGTGATAACGGGGTCCCCCACTGGAATTGGGGCCAGAACTAGGGTTGTTCCGGACGCCCCAAGGGAGAATTCGCGGGGTACCGCTCAAACCCGTGGGCTTGCATTTCAGATCACGAGACGGGGCGAGGAGAGGAAGGGCCTGCGGGACGGGATAACGGGGGTCGAACAGGTCTGGGGGCTCGAATCTGAGATCGCTGGTCTGGGGCACCCCCGAGGGCGGGACTCTGGGGTGTGGCTGGGTCTGGGGGTCGCCAAGGCGTGGGTTGCGGGTGCAGGGGTGGTCTGGGCCGGGCGCTCACCACCTCCCAAGTCCGGCGGTCCGCGGTCGGGTCTGCTGCTCCCGGGCCTCCCGCTGCGTCCGGCTCCGGAGGGCGGGGCCGGTGACTCAGGCGGCTGCTCCCGGTTAGACCCTGCACCGCTGCCCAGCTGTCATCCGCGCGGTCCTAGAGCCGGCATTGGAACTGCGCCTGCGCGCGCCGACCCGCCCCTCCTGCCCACATCTCGGGGTGCGGCCGCTGTGGTTCCGCCCTGCCTGTCTCCGGCGCCAGAGGTTCTAACCCCGCCCGACTCTGCAGGTAGGAGGTCTTCCCCCACACCCCTCAAGCCTGGGTGAGGTGACAATCCAGTGTCAAAGTGTGAATTTCCACCCTGGGACCTGCCAGTACCTTGCCACGATTGCAATTTTCGGTCCATTCATCACGGGGCCCCTCTAGTCGCCTTGACTCGGAAAAACAGCACCTGGAGGCCCCGAGTTTTGGTTGGCTCACAAGCTGTGGGACAAGTGCCCGGATCTGTGGCAAGGACTGGGACTAGACTGGATTTCGCCGGTGCCTGCAGCAGCCGGCATGGCCGCATACGAGAGCTGCCTTGTGCCTTCTCCCACCCGCAGGGTCACCAGAATCATCAGAATCGTGTTTTTTCCTGGATGAGCCCGAAGTGTATCCTCAGTCTTCCAGCCCCGAAAGGGAGAGACCTTTGGCCATGGCCTGGTTTCTGAGGCCAGATGATCCCGAAGTCCCTGAGAAGGGGGAGGCAGACTGGGCCTTTGGAGGCCTTTCGCCTGCCCTCAGGTGCAAACCTGAGCCCGCCACTTTTCAGGGGTCCTCAGAGGAGCAGGCTAGCTGGCCCTTAGCCCCTCCCCTGGAGGCTGGCAGGGCTTGGGTGTGAATCCTGGCTCTGCCCCATAATGACTTTGTGACCCCAAAACAATGCAGAGATTTTCTCATCTTTAAAATGGGCACATGGGTTGGCCCCCTCACCAGGCCCCATCAGAATTAAGTGATAAATGCTTAGTAAATGGCAGCTATTAGCCTCCATGTGTGTGCCCATGCTGGCCCCGCAGCCGGGAGCCCACCTGCATCCCTCAGCGGTTGCCTCTTGCCTGTCCTTGGTTAATACTGACAAAACCACAGCTGCCAAGTGCTCTTCTAAGTGCTTCACGCATATCAGCTCATTTGCCCTCATAACGGCCCTGTGGGATAGGTGCTATTTATCATCCCCATTTTACAGATAAGTAAACTGACTCTGAGGTTAAACTCAGACAGCCAAGCTCCCTAGGCTGTATCCTTAACCACTGCCTTTATGCATGGACACCTTTTCTTTGTTTGTTTGAGATAGGGTCTTGCTCTGTCATCCAGGCTGGCATGCAGTGGCACAATCATAGCTCCCTGAAGCCTCCAACTCCTGGGCTCCAGCTATCCTCCTGCCTCAGCCTCCCAAGTAGCCAGGGGTACAGGTGTGCACCACCACGCCTGGCTAATTTGTCTTATTTTTTTTTGTAGAGACAGGGCTCCCTATGTTGCTCAGGCTGGTCTCAAACTCCTGGCCTTAAGCAATCCTTCTGTCTTGGCTTTCGAAAGTGCTAGGATTAGAGGCGTGACTCCCTGATAATATAATTAATATGATAATAGCTCATGACCGGCCTGATTCCCTGATAATATAATTAATATGATAATAGCTCATATAACAAGATCACAACAGACAAAGCCGCATTTGCAACTAATGCTTCCTGAGGGTTTGCTGGGGCCAGGCCAAGACAACTACTATACAAGCCTTGTCTATGGGGCAGGATTTAACAGAGAAAATGGAGATTTTGAAAGGCAGGGTCACAGAGGGTGGCAGGACCAGTCTGAAGCTGGGTTTGGCTGATGACAAATCTTTCAAATCTTTTGGTGATGACTAATCTGGATTCCCTTCTCACCACACCCCTATCGACCGGACTGAGCAGCTTTCGTTCTCTGCCCTCTCCCCAGACTGACTTGTAGCCAGGCCTTTGCAGCATGGGCTGTGCCCCTGCCTGGAACTCTCATTTTTTTTTCTTCTTTTTTTAGCCTGGTTTTGTATCTACTTAGGCTTTGGATGTCAACTCAGGAGTCACTTCTAGGAAGCTCTCCCTGTCTCCATGCCCACCTGAGACTAGGTGAGGCTTCTAGTTACATGCTCTTAAAATGACTTATATTTTCTCATAGTACTCACTGCCAGTTGTAATCACATCGACATCTAGTTCTGTCTCCCTGACCCCTTAATCCTGGCCAGCCCCAAGTCTCAGGTCTTGGCCCTCCTCCCAGTACTACTCATACCGTAGGTTGCAGCCCCTGCACAAAAGCTTAAATTCGCTCTCTAGGCTATCAACCCTCAAACATCTATCTTCAGTCCAGACACCTGCCTGAAACCCAGGCTCCTGCACCCTACATCCTGTTCGCCATCTTCATGAGAAAGGGTGGAGCATCTCAGGGACGTTTCAGGCTTTACACATCCTAAACTGAGCTCCTGACCTTGCCCCTGGACTGGCTTCCTCCCCACCTAGGTCGTGGCAGCTCTAAGGCCAAACACCCCAGGGTTGTCCTCTTTAACCTCTCTCTTTCCTTCACACCCCTTCCAACCTGTCCGAAAATTTTACTGGCTTCACCTACAGAATCTAAACTCTTCTCCCCAATTCACTGCCCCTACCCTGACCCGGCCTCCATCGCCTCTGGCCGGGACATCCCAGCAGCCTCTTCCCTAGTCTCCTGCTCTGTCCCTGCCCCCACAATCTGTTCCCCTCCTGCATCCAGAGGGAGCCTGGGAACACCCGAGTCAGGTCAGGGCCCTCCTGGCTCAGAGCCCTGCCCCCGCTGCATCTCTTTCCAGGTAAGAGTCAAAGTTCTCACAGCAGCCACCAAATCCCTAGTGATCTGTCCTGTCACCTCTCTGCCCTCATCTCCTCCTCCTTGCGAAAGTGAGAAGCAGCGCTGCTGGCAGCTTTACCTGGATGTTCCCAGCTGAGCAGACAAAATCCCACGTGGAGGCTCTGCAAGCACAGCAGTCTCCAACCAGCCCCTCACCTGGCACATGAGGCCACTACTGTATCACTGAGACCGTCTCTAGTCCCCCCTTAGTGCCTAGGGTCTGCACATCTAGTGATCTAGAGACGGGCCTCTCAGATCTCTGATTTAGCCCTCCCCTCCCCGTCCTGTGCCAACACTGTGGTTATAATTTATCACCCGCTGACATACTGTATATTTATCCAGAATTTTGTCTTCTCCACTAGCATGTGGCCCCCAAGGGCAGGGATTTCTGTCTTGTTCACTGCTGTGTACTCACTCCTAGCTGTGTACTCACTCCTAGCTGTGTACTCAGTTCCTAAAACAGTGCTTGGTACACCATAGGTGCTCAACAATTGCTTGTGGATGGTGAATGAAATGTTTTGAGTGTATTTTCTCATTCAATTTTCAGCACCATCAATAAGATACTACAGCAAGCCTCACTAATGCCTCCTACAGTCTCCCAGACTCCTTTGAACTCTGGCATGGTCATGTGACTTATTTTGACCAATAAAATGTGAGCGGAAGTGTTGGGTGTGTCACTTCCTTACAGAAGCATTTAAGAGCCACTGCAGAATGCTCCGTACTCTATTGTCCTCTGTCAGGGCAACAGGGCATCAGGAGCTGTGCAAACACGGAGGAAGCCAGCTGTGTCACTGGGCCATGGCACAAGGACTGCTGCTCTACATAGTCACCCAGACCCACAGCAGACTTTGAGCAAGAAATAAATTTTGAGGTGTTAGTCCACTAAGGTTAGAGCTCTCTCATTACCACGGTGTAACCCAGCCTATTCCAACTGATGCAGGTACATGTTATTATGATGCCCACAAGGAAACCGGGGCCCAGAGAGGTACGGTTCCTTGCCCAAAATCATACAGCTGGTAGGTGTCAAAGTCTAGATTTGAATCTTGGAAGGCTGGCTTTGTATAATAGCTCATACTTTTTTTTTTTTTAATTATTTTTAAGACACAGTCTCACTTTGTCTTCTGAGCTAGAGTGCAGCAGCGTCTTCATAGCTTATTTTACCCTCAAACTACTGGGCTCCAGCGATCCTCCTGCCTCAGCCTCCTGAGCAGCTGGGACTATAGGCATGCACCAACACACCCAACTAATTTTTCTTTTTTTTATTTTCTTTTGCAGAGACAGGATCTTGTTCTTGCTCAGGCTGGTCTCAAACTCCTGGCCTTAAGCAATCCTCCCATCTAGGCCTCTCGAAGTGCTATGATTACAGGTGTGAGCCACCTGCCTGGCTATAGCTCACACTTTCAACACTCACAGTTTGCTGCCTCAATGACAGTAATGTTATAGTGGTTCCAGTTAATAAATTCCCAATAGTCATAACTAACCTTGCTAATTCCACTCGAGGGCTCAGTGGGACCAGGCTGAGTGACTGTGTGGTAGGCGTGGCTTGCCAAGGCCTCTTATAATCCTCTGAGAATGGAACTAACACGGGAGGAAGTGGATGTTCCGAGAGGTGGAGTCATTTGCCTGAGGCCACAGAGTGGATGGGAGACCAGATCTGAACCTTCGCATGGCTGATGCCAAACTGTCGTGATGACTAACACAGATACCTGGCCCTCCCTTCCGCGGGTCTGAGCCACTTCTGTTCTCTCTGCTCTCACCAGGCTCCCTTACTGCCAGGCCCTTGCTTGGGCTGTGATTCTGCAAAATCACCTCTCCCGCAATTGTTGCTTCGGAGTTAATCACCTGAACAAAATTCTTTGCTCAGCCAAACTTCAGTCAGGCTTCTGAATCTTCTGCTAGGCCCATCTGGGCACTTCCTTGTAAAATCCAATTTTAGCAAAGAACCTGCTAAGTCAGTTTAGTAAGAACCCCCATCATCAGTATCTGATGATCATCCTTGATATCTGGTCAGGTTCGTCATCCTCCACCATCCCGCAGGTGATGTCTGGTCACCCTGGCAGGAGTCCCATTAGGTAGCCTGTAATCCTAGCACTCTGGGAGGCCGAGGTGGGCGGATTGCTCGAGGTCAGAAGTTCGAAACCAGCCTGAGCAAGAGCAAGACCCTGTCTCTACTATAAATAGAAAGAAATTAATTGGCTAACTAATATATATATATAAAAAGAAAATTAGCCGGGCATGCTAGTG